TCATAGTCTGATTTTACAGCCTCTCAGACCTTAATGCAGAGTGCCCTTTAAACACACTGCTCTAGTGAGAATACAATCACAGCAGATGACTCAGAGGAGAGACAATCCTGACTCGAGAGAGTGACTGGAGAGAGATGCTGTACAGAATGAGAAATAAACCAAAATGGTGCCCTTTTAGGACTGCTGTACGCTTTTCAAAAGACAATAAATAAGAAGTGCTTTCCAGCGCAGCTGAAATCTCACACGATGGAGAATTTTTATTTTTTGGGGAAATGTTTTCTGTTGTTAAAATCCACGAAGAGGGGAATCGTGAAAACATGTCTAGGTCAAATTTCACTCCAAAATCAAAAGTAAAAAAAAAAGAAAAAGGAAATTATATTTTACATATAGAAAATCAACACTTTTCTTGGACCATTAAAGGGATAGTTCACCCAAAAATGAAAATGTTGTCATCATTTACTCACCCGCTAGTTGTTCCAAACCTGTATGAGTTTCTTTCCTCTGTTGAATATAAAGGAAGATATTTTGAAGAATGTTGGTAACCAAACAGTTTCTGGCTTACACTGTATGGAAAAAGAAAAACACTACGGAAGTCAATGGCTACCAGCAACTGAAAAAGAAATGCATACAGGTTTGTAAAAACATGAGGAAGAGAAAATTATGAGAACATTTTTGAGTGAACTCTCCCTTTAAGGTTTGTTACATTATGGCATTATTTTTTCATGAGAATTAAGCTAAACTTGCCCCCAAATGATCATTTCTATAACACATCAAAACCATTTTCCATTTTTTTTTTTTTTTACATTAAAGTAATTATATATTTTTGCAGTACATTAATGACAGTTGGAGGATAATGTATTTTATTGCTTTATTGTTAAAAACATCACACTGGTAATAATTTCTTTTTTTAGATTTGGGGTGAAATACGACACATATGTTACAGATCATTTCCTGAGATTCACCTAAAGATCATCCTCTGATATCATCTCTACATCTCCAGATTTGTAGCTCAGTTTCGAATTTCAAAGTCAGTCACGGAGCACCATTGTCGCAGGGCCACACGCTGCCAAAAAAACTAGCAAACGGAAATAAGACGACCAGTCTCCAGTCTTGGCAACTGCTGTCTGCACACAGCCCACAGTTTCTAACGCAGTAAAGCAGGTCTCTAGTAAGCTTCTTAAAGCCTGCCTGTCAAGTGAAGTAGCGCTGATGTCTCAATGCAAGCCTGATAACATGGCCCGAGCATCGATCCATCCCAATACTGCTAACACACCTCTCAAGCACAATGAGGCCCTGGGAGAGTGGAACTGTGTGGTGATTTAAACAATACTACAGCAAAAAAAACCCTGTCTTCCGACTTGCCTTCATCGCCAAAAAATGGAACAACCACATAGAGATTTGTGATAGAGGTTTAGCAATATATTACAAGTTGCCATGTTCAAATCCTGGGATGATCGAGCAAAGCTGTGGAAATGATGTACGATAGGTCTTTACTCTAAATGCCAGTGATCTTTATGACGGCAGATGACAATGATGGTGTTATTTTGCCATTTGAGACTTATTCAGAGTTCCTTAGGACAGCAGTATATGAAAATTCATGAATCCACACCCAACTTCCCTATAAGACAGGCTGTAAAAACAAGTTTCACAAGACCTGAGAGCACCAAACGTCAAAAAAGCTAGGTATGGTAAATACGGGTATTTTAAGACTCACCCCCCCGGTCTGCACCATGTTTAATTCGGTTTATTTTTAAAAGATACAAAACATTAGCACCAGTTGTTGGCTCAAATGGAAGAAACACCAGCGAACACCAGCCTTCACCGTGGCAATGACCCACCCCAGTGTTTGCCATGGCAACGACCTCAACAACCCTACAAAAATATGTCGCGAGTATCAGAAACGCATTAAATAAAAACAGTAAAATCATGCATCTGTTGCGTTTTCATCACCAGGAATAAACCTGCAGTCTGTGTTTGGAATGCTAGCCATATAAATGTTTGCAGGAATGGCTGCTACATACAAGAACGCAATATTTAAACCATCGTGGCATCATCCTCTTTACAAGAACATATCGGTGATGCAATAAAGCCAAACAATATGCAGTGAAGCTGAAGACAGAATGCATGCCAAGATAATTCACATTATAAGACAGTGAAAAAAGACTCACGGGCAGATGAAACATTGTTTCTATGCAAGACTGCAGTATCGGATATACAAAACATCAGTATTTGTGGAATAACTTAATGATGAGATCCAGAAAGATTTGGTCAAGCTGGTTTGGCATTTACCCGTGTAAAAGTTGACCGCTATAGGAGATGATGCAGGTCTGCTCATTGTTTCAAAGTAAAAACAGACTTTTTAAGTAAATGTTTGGATATAAAAAGTCAAATAGCTCTTTAAGAAAGGTTTCAAATACATTTAGGTTAGAAATCTGATAAGAGCCCTTTAATGTTTGATCAACTAGAGGCAGTGTGTCTGCCAACGTCCACAATGGAAATATAAATTACTATAACTCATTTAGGGCTCACAAAAAAAATAAAACAATCCATTTCAACAACTAACCAATTTTCACTAACCTAACCAGAAAAATCATAAATATAAAACTCTGATCTCAATTTACCATATTCCTCTATATTAAATCAGTTAAGGTCAAACGCTGTTCGCATTCTGCCATTCATGCAGCTTGCCATCCGGAATAGAGTGAAGTCAGGAGGGAGTATGAAGCCTTTGGCACTAAAGACAGTGATAAAACAAATAACTGTGCAATACATATGGACGGTTACTTTTGGGTTACATTCGTACTATGGAGGAGCGGAGAACTGACATCACGTCATCGTAAGGAAGGACTGAATGTTTCATCTTTTTTTCTCAATTAAAAGGTAATGCACTGCATATGTGACATTGAGGCTGTGGGATTATATGACAGGACATACATGTATATGAGGGGTTGGCTGTTTATGAAAGTAAGTTAAAGATATGAACATATTAAGGATTCATTCTTACACATCCTTAATGATTCTAGAGCTGCAAGTTAACATTTGGGAGGTTCAAATGATTAAAAGCACCTTTCCTGCTCAGAAATCGAATTTTAATCACTGATGCATTTAATTAGACACTTAAAAATCCTCCTAAATTAAAGAGGACCGAAACATAGGCTTTTTGCATCATAAAAGGCTGCACACTGAAAAAAGATGTACTGATAGGGTAAATTTCATAACTCTTGTCCAGTTGCTTGGGTCATATTTTACCCCAAAATCTAATGAAAAAAAGAGGGAAAAAACTAAATATTTATATATGTTTTGTAAAATAATTTGATAAAATAATAATAATGAATATTATTATAGTTCAATTATTAAATTATATTAAAGAAAAAGTAGTTTGTTTTTATAACCATTAAGATTTTTATGACGATATTTTCTTAATTAAACATTCTCCAAAACTTCTCATTACTGCAATGCAAATACAAAAAAGCTTTTTTTTTTATATTAAAAAATTTTTTAAATGTCATTTTTAAATTGTATTTATACATCACAGATGCATAGACTGTATTGACTTTAAGATGTGCTGTAAATAATGATAATAAAAAGCTGAATTTCATTTTTTTTTACTGTAATAATGTCCAGTTGCTTGGGTCATATTTTACCCCAAAATCTAATGAAAAAAAGAGGGAAAAAACTAAATATTTATATATGTTTTGTAAAATAATTTGATAAAATAATAATAATGAATATTATTATAGTTCAATTATTAAATTATATTAAAGAAAAAGTAGTTTGTTTTTATAACCATTAAGATTTTTATGACGATATTTTCTTAATTAAACATTCTCCAAAACTTCTCATTACTGCAATGCAAATACAAAAAAGCTTTTTTTTTATATTAAAAAAATTTTTAAATGTCATTTTTAAATTGTATTTATACATCACAGATGCATAGACTGTATTGACTTTAAGATGTGCTGTAAATAATGATAATAAAAAGCTGAATTTCATTTTTTTTACTGTAATACATTTTTACTGTATTATAGTAATGAGAATCTGCATTGAGAAAAATTAAAAATCACAAAAACATAATTCCTAATGCATCTGTATGTTTTATGACAATGACTGAATTTGTGCGGGGGATTTGCGTAATTATGAAAATAATGGCAAAACAAATCTTAATGGTCCCAAAACCAAGCTTCATTTTCTTTAAGCAAAATACAATTTCTTTTCCTTCTTTTTTTTCTTTTGATTTTGAGGTGGAAATATTTTGTGAAATTCACCCAATTTGCAATCTGCCTTGCATTTAGCTAAATATCTATGTCTTTTCCATGTAGCCACATAAACACAGGCCAAAATATAGCACTTTTGGAAAAACACTCTAAACGGTCTCTATTTTTCTAGCCTTTCAGTCTTTCACACACACTTTCATTATTCATCCTTTCTCTCCATCAACAACTTTTATATACAATATTGGTAAATAGAACATAAATACTACACATAAATTTGCCTATTAACAATTCCACTCGTAGCGACATCGGAAAGTAAAGAAAGAAGCCGCTCTGAAATAATATACTCATATAAACTGCTTTATATAAGCTTAGAAAGGCTCTGAGCTCCAGTTAGGTATGACCTGAGAGAGAGCGATCAGTTTGAAACACCTCCTCTCTTCTGGTTAGCAGTGTAAAAGTGGACACTTCCACGGAGGACGGCAGACACCGAGCACCATCTTTTTGCCCATAATTGAAGTGGGAACAAAGTTTAAAGGTACAAAAAAAATTTTAAACCTTTTTTTTGTTGTCTTTTTTAGTTTTAATAGTGTAAACAGCGCACCAATTGGGTCTTGGTTCCACTTCTCTCAACTATACAAAAGTATAAATATATGCTTTCTCTCAATTTTTCACATATCTAGGACATATAGCGGACGAACAGACAGAAAAAAGCGGTTGTTCCCGTAAGTCGCCAGTGTCGCAGTGGCTGTGCTGGTTTTGTTGTTTGCTGGCTCATATCCGTGTTTGTTTGGTGTAGGCGTTGATGGTCTATGCATATATAGCACGTAGCACAGTCCTCAGCCACTGGGCCAAAACAACCAAGCGTTTCTATCCAACTACAGCAGATCCATTTTGGGTCTGTAATGAAGGAGGAGGGGGGATTTCTGGAACGCACACAAAACAAACAAGCATTCGTGTGACTGAAAGTCATAGAGCCACTAGAATGAAAACAAAGGCACAGAAAGTCAAACGCATCTATACAACACAAAGACAATTTCATAACTTCACATACTCTATTTGATTATGCATGCATAAAAATTATGCAGAGTATCCATGCATGTATAGAAAGTGACATGCACATCAATACTGCAAATGGGAAGACTAAAGCCAGGCTAATCTATAACAAGCATTCGTGAATGCACGCAAATTTATCATTAATTACCTTAAATCTCCATCTTGTAACCACAACAAATTTCAAAGTATGGTCCTTGCCCAAGATTTCTTCATTGCATAAGATGTCCAGCTGAAAGCAAGCACACAAATATAGCAAACAAACCCCCAAAAAATATACCATACGAGAGAAGTCTAAACAAATCTACGCTTTCCGTGATCTTTCAGTACCTTTAAATAAGTCAGCTGATCATTAGCACACAATAAACTGAATGTGGCCCTTATTAGGGATGGGTCTGGATGGTCAAATAGATGACTGCTGGATGACTAGTTGGCCATGCGGAAAGATCCCCAGTGAGTATATCTTGATTATTTTTAAGTTTTAACATTTTTAGCACCTTCAGACTTTTTGGAGAAGTTTTTAGCGTGTTTACAACTTTAGTGTAACAATTACAGGAATTAAATTGAATCTACCGCCTCAAGTTAACGCCCAAGTTTTTAAGATGATGTGTCAAGTTTAATACATTTAAAACTTAAATGCATCTCAAGACATTACACCCCACAGTCTAGTTGATTTTTAAAACATCTAGTTTTGCACAGATACTCCAACATATTCCACAGCTAATCACCAAATAAACAAACTCTCTCTCTCTCTCTCTCTCTATATATATATATACACACACACACACACACACTTTTACATTATTTTTTACTCTTATGAGTGATTTTTTAAATTAAATTTACAATATAAAAATATTTTATTCACACCTAAATATGTAGAAAAACTTTAGTGTAACAATTACAGGAATTAAATTGAATCTACCGCCTCAAGTTAACGCCCAAGTTTTTAAGATGATGTGTCAAGTTTAATACATTTAAAACTTAAATGCATCTCAAGACATTACACCCCACAGTCTAGTTGATTTTTAAAACATCTAGTTTTGCACAGATACTCCAACATATTCCACAGCTAATCACCAAATAAACAAACTCTCTCTCTCTCTCTCTCTCTATATATATATATATACACACACACACACACACACACTTTTACATTATTTTTTACTCTTATGAGTGATTTTTTAAATTAAATTTACAATATAAAAATATTTTATTCACACCTAAATATGTAGAACATAAATAGGACAATGCTCAAGTATACAGTTTATCAGCCATTACACAAAAATATGAGTAGAGAATGCTGCAACCGACCAATCAGAATAAAGTATTCCAGAGAACCGCATAATCAATTGTGCACGAACGTCTCTGGGGACAGGTGGGATTTTATGGTGCTTTACAGAAGAGTGACAGTCCTTTGTGCACTCAAAACATTCAGTTCCACCTATTATTCAAGCCAAAACAAAAGACGTAAAACCTTTAATGCACAAGAGCAGCCATAACCGTCCAGAGTATTATGTGTATCACAGTATAAGGGATACCGCTCTCGCTGGAATAGTGTGCATTGAAACACCAGAGCCAGTGTCTGTGTGTTTTGGCTCGCTGTGAGTCGAACGACAGCAGTACAACCACAGCAACACCTGCTGGAGGCCATGAGCTCTCGGCACTATACAGAGTTTAAAGCCATCTAGGATGAGAGCCAGGGATGTTCAGAGACAGAAACGTCTGACAGTGAAACAATGAAACGTTTGATGCTTATTAGAATTTAGTTCTTCAAAGATTTTGCTTTTCTCCTGCACTTCAAAGCAGTCGCTACACAAACCACTGCCATTTCGGAGTCATATTTTTTATTTGCTTCGAAGTGGTATTGTACTGTTGGCAGATATAACTCTCTATACTTGCGGAGAACAACAGGCATCTGACAGTATTATTGCGGGGGAATGTTTTTGACGGATGTGCGCGGTGGAATAGCCCACATTTCTAACACAAAGTAGAAAAAAAAACGGTGATGGAGCAGCAGTAATTAGTCAAGTTTTGTGTTAAATTGCACTATGAGATGTTGGCAGGCTGCAAGATACATGACAGAGAGCAAATGATATTACAGGCTATTATTTGTCTCTGAAAATATGAGGCACGCTGAAAGCTTTGTGAGAAACGTGACAGCGCGGAGGAGCTTTGAAATCCGTGTGGTGACTCACGCAAGAGCCATTGTCATGAAGTGAATGCTGATGCTAGCCGGCGTGGTGGCAAAGGTCTCTAACGAGTTAACTTCAACCGAGGGAAAAGGAAGATAATGGGTTTTGTCTCGAACTTCGCTCGCTGCATGAGGGCCTACGAAGCTTCAGGTCTGGCGGATCACATACCTCATTGAAAGATGTCAGGTTTAGCTTTCTTGCGATGAACTTCTTGAGGTGGAGAACGGTCGCCTGAGCCGAACAACGAATCCACTTCCGCTTGAGGCCTCTGAGCTTACTGCTGTTACACTCCAGACAGATACTCACCTGAACCGACAAAAGCGAGAGAGAGAGAGAAAGAGAGAGAGAGAGAGAGAGAGTGAGTTTGACTTAGCACTGATAATCACATGGATGATTTAGGTAACTGCATTGTGTGAACAAGAAAATTCAACAAATACTGAAGCTTAACATGTTTTGCAATGTTTGAATCCATTCCGTCTAGGCTCAGACTAAATATCAGATACCATGTAGAGCTTCACAAAATATTTACACAGGTAAAAACCATGATATTTCAGGTACTAAACCTACTAAACTGGTAGAATGACCTTTCAATCTCTAATCGAGGCTCTCACAATTTTCTTTTTGCTTTGTTAGCCCTGTACTGTACTATTTGTATAAAGTTTGTATTGCTTATTGTGAAGAATATTCTACATATGTGTCACCCTGTTTTTATACAGTCTATGGTGTCACCACATGGAATTTGACAAAGAAACCTTTAAGCATTCTTGATTAATGTGGCATCCTAGATAAATGATGCTGCGAGAAAATGTGAGTGACATAACAGATTTTTTTAGCAGACATTTTGTACATCTTTGATTTGAATCACTTTACAGTACCATTCAAAAGGTTGGAGCTAGAACGATTGGATATGGATCAGCAAGGAAATTGAACAAAATTGGCAATAAATAAATTTTTAATGTAACTAAATGGAATGCCTCGTTTATAATGGGTTTTCATGTTTTTGAATTATCGCTCCGGACTGACAGGGCATCATCACAATATGGTAAGGGGTGTAACATTTCCGTCACACGCTTGAGGTATTCGGCCAATCATAATGCACTGGATAGCTGGCCAATCACAGCACACCTCGCTTTTCAGACCGATGAGCTTTGTAAAAATCGACGCGTTTCAGAAAGGCGGGGCATAGAGGAGAAACAATAATGTACAGTATGTGGAAAATAATGTGTTTTTGAACCTTAAACCGCATAAACACATTTCATTACACCAAATACACAAAATAATGTTCTTTTTAGCAACATTATATGACCCCTTTAACAGCGAAGCTCTGATTCGGGGATTAGAACTCTTGATATCTGGCAACCGCACTCATGAAAGCTTGCATAGTAGAGGCGTGTAGAGCAGTCTGCAATAACATTTTGTCTCATTTTTTTGACGAAAATAAAAGGAGGTTTTTGGTCAAGTTTTTATCTTTTTGAATACATTTTAGTCTCGTCTTATTTCGTCAACGAAATTGCATGTTGATTTAGTCTTTGTTATCATTTATTGACCTTATTGTAGAGGTCTACACGGAGGACCCGGGACCCAACCCGGGATCCGTACGGGTTCAGGGCTATATTTTAAATGGTCAGCCGGGTCCGGGTCCGGGTCGGGTCCCAATCCATTACTTCGGGTCCCGGGTCTGTTTAACATTGTGTGTAATACCCAAATCGATCGGACTCTGAGAGCACCCGGCCGTTATCAGAGTCAGTCAGCGCTGTGCATGTGTTGTTTTGTAACTTTCAACTTGTAAAATTAGGATGAGAAAAGTGTGAGTCGGTAATTTGAAATAAGGTGGGGGAAAAAAGAAAACCCGAACGACATCATCAGAAGCAGGGTGGGCGGAGTTAATGCACACGCACGGTGATAATGGATACCTTCATGAGTGATGTGAGTTATTATTGATTATTTTTTAAAATAATATTATGAATGAACCATCTTGTTGTTATCTCTAAAATACTTTGCTCAGACTCGGCTCAGAGAGCACAGAGATGATAGCAAATAAGTAAAGCTAACGTCAGCAGCCATGGCACTGGACGAGCAATCGTTATTATAATCCAAATGGGCAAACAGTCTAAATTATTATGCAAGTTGACTCGAGATACAAAAAATGCAAAACTGCAAAGTCGCATTTGTCATCCGTCACCGTGACAGCAAGTGGACTTTTGAAACTGGAATAATGAGTGGATTACGCATTTCAATTGGCAAGAGAGGAATAACACGGATGGAACTTTCTTGGCAAGGAGGATTGTGTGCATCACAGTCAGGTACAAGGGAGAAGGCTTCTTACATTAGGTAAGACAAAAAGTTTAATTTTCGCAACTTGTTTATCGACTTGTTAATAGCAATTTGCTGTGGAATATGTGCCGATCGGGTCCAGTCTGGTCTGTGTCTTCCCGGCCGGGTTCGGGTCCATCTTTCAAATAATTGACGTCCGCGTCGGTCCCGGGTAGTAGATTTTTGACATTTCTCGGTTCTGCACGGGCCCGGGTCCAACTTTCAAAATAATAAACGGGTCCAGGTCGGTTCAGTGTAGCACATTTACGGGTCTCTTCCGGTTCGGTTTTTGGACCTGTGTAGACCTCTACCTTATTGTCGTCTCGTCTTCGTCATGGGAAAAAAGCTAGTCAATGAACATTTTTCGTCATAGTCTTCGTTAACGAAATTAAAGGGGTCATATGATGCTGCTAAAAAGAACAGTATTTTGTGTATTTGGTGTAATGAAATGTGTTTATGCGGTTTAAGGTTCAAAAAACACATTATTTTCCACATACTGTACATTATTCATGTGACAACCCCCAGGCTTCGTCCACGGTGAAAGCCGATCCGACGATCCACAGCACTAAGTTGATGTATTACCTCAGCGACTAGCACGGATCAGCTCCAGGCATGAAGAAGTGGATATCGTCCTCTTTTGGAAGACCAAACAAAGTAGTTTCGCTTTCACAACAAAACACAGCGTCACACACGGCGGGCTAGAGTCAGCGGAGGCGGGCGGGCTTGAGAATGGGCCTGCGGCAACCACATGTGACGACCCCGGGCTGGACTCCGCTTCATCCACAGTGAAAGCCGATCCGGCAATCGACAGCGTGAAGTTGAAGTATTTCCTCAGCAACCAGCACAGATCAGCTCCAGGCATGACGAAACAATATCGTCCTCTTTTGGAAGGTCAAACAAAGTAGTTTCGCTTTTACAACTAAGCACACAGCGCCTTCACGACATGACACCGGCGGCAACAACCATACTTCACTGTATGTGAGGGCGTGTTAGAACGAGCCGTTTTAGGTAGGTGTGGCTGACTCTTAACTTTTATAAAGAATATCTCTTTGGATTTGAGACTTTAGTCTTTGCAACTTTACAGTTCTTCTTTACGCACTAAGAGCTTGTAACACTCCAAAGAGAAAGGAAAAATTGAAATCGCATCATATGATCCTTTTAACACTATACTGTACATTATTGTTTCTCCTCTATGCCCCGCCTTTCTGAAACGCGTAGATTTTTACAAAGCTCATCGTTCTGAAAAACGAGGTGTGCTGTGATTGGCCAGCTATCCAGTGATTGGCTGAATACCTCAAGCGTGTGACGGAAATGTTACGCCCCTTACAATACCGTGATGCCCTCTCCGGCCGGAGCGACGAGACAAAAACATTAAAACCCATTTTAAATGAGGCATTTGTTGCATCCAGTGGGGACATAATTACGGATTATAATGACATATACTGTCTTTTTATCCGTTGCATCGTGCCGGAAAAGTCGGAAGTCGTGGCCTAATGGTTAGAGGGATTGTAGGTGGGGGGAGTGAATGTACAGCACTCTCTCCACCTTCAATACCACGACTGATGTGCCCTTGAGCCAGGCAACTGCTCCCCGGGCGCCGCAGCAAAAAAGTGACTGCCCAATGCTCCGGGTGTGTTTTCACGGTGTATGTGTATTCACTGCTGTGTGTGTGCACTTTGGATGGGATAAATATGGGTCACCCCACTTGGCCACATGACACGTCACACTAAAACCATGTCTTTTTATCCGTTGCATCGTGCCGGAAAAGTCGGAAGTCGTGGCCTAATGGTTAGAGGGATTGTAGGTGGGGGGAGTGAATGTACAGCACTCTCTCCACCTTCAATACCACGACTGATGTGCCCTTGAGCCAGGCAACTGCTCCCGTGCCGGAAAAGTCGGAAGTCGTGGCCTAATGGTTAGAGGGATTGTAGGTGGGGGGAGTGAATGTACAGCACTCTCTCCACCTTCAATACCACGACTGATGTGCCCTTGAGCCAGGCAACTGCTCCCCGGGCGCCGCAGCAAAAAAATGGCTGCCCAATGCTCCGGGTGTGTTTTCACGGTGTATGTGTATTCACTGCTGTGTGTGTGCACTTTGGATGGGATAAATATGGCTCTCTTCCACCTTCAATACCACGACTGAGGTGAGACCCTTGAGCAAGGCACTGAATCCCCAACTTGGATGGGTTAAATGCAGTGCATACATTTTGAGTATGGGTCACCATACTTGGCCACACGTCACTTCACTTTTCACTTTCAAATGGTGCTAAACAAATCAATAAATCCCACTGTTCAAATCCATTGAATTCATGTGCATTTCCCAGTTTTGGCACAAGCTGGTTCTTTTTGGCTCCACTTTCTCCTCACAAGGTCACGCCGGATGGGTCTGATCCAACATACACATTAGCAGAAGTGTTCCACAGCCATCCGAGCATAGTTGAACGAGCACTGCTGAAATTTTCATTCGCTTTTTATATTATATATATGAGGCCAAAGTGCCTGTTTCAGCTTTACTACAGCAGACCGCATGAACAGACAATCTGTCCACGCACTTTTGCAAGACAACTCATGACAACAGGACATCAGTAACGCTGAGATCTTCATTGATCTCTTCCTCCTACAAACAAGAACACACACCCATACTTACATCCTAGCATACTGTTCCATGCCTTCTGTTCTTCTTTGTGCTTTCTGCTCTATAAATCTCGCTCACACAAGCACACACTCCACTAGGGATTCTTATATCACAGTATGAGTTATTTTATGAGTTGTTTTTGCTGGAAATGCAACAATTGCAAAAAAAAAAAAGTATATATTTTAATATTGCCAACCACACAAATATGTCTAAGATGGTATATGCAGCACAACAGACAGAACACCCTACACTTCACTGAAATCTGATTCTATATAAGGAAGAGAATCTATTCCAAAATGCAGAAGCAGTGAGTAGACAGCAGCCGCACAACCTTCTGTTATTACATTGTTAAGAAGCTCAGAGGAGAGCAGGAATACAAATTCTACTATATAAGAATCTTTAATGACTACCAACTACCAACCCTCTAAAACATATACAGAGCTGTGAAAAAGTTTTTTCCCCCTTCCTGTTTTTTTAATTGTTTGGATATTTGTCACACTTAAAAGATTCAGATCATCAAACTAATTTTATTATACACAAAGATAATATGAGTAAATACAAACTGCAGTTTTGAAATTATGATTTCATTTATTAAAGGGGTCATACGATGCGATTTCAAGTTTTCCTTTCTCTTTGGAGTGTTACAAGCTGATTGTGCATAGATAAGATCCCTGAAGTTGCAAAGACTAAAGTCTCAAAACCAAAGATATATTCTTTATCAAAGTTAAGACTCTGCCACGCCCCCCTAAAACGGCTTGTTCTAACACGCCCCCACATATCTACCTCACTATGTGGAAATATTGTTCAATATTGAAGTATTGTGCAATAATGTTCACGCAAAGAATGAAGGCGTGGTTTCAGTAACCGCCGTTAGTGTTGAAGCAGCCATGTCAGGGAGACGCTGTGTGTTTCTAAGCGAAAGCAAAAGCACTTTATTTGGCCTTCCGAAAGTAGATGCATTTAGGAATCTTTAAGATTACTTACAACAGAACAGCAATGCATTTTATGGACGACCGTTTCGTGAACCTAGGAGAGGAGGTAATTCTGACTTTGCTATGACAATCTGGCGCTTCTGAATCAGCTACTGTTATGTTATTAGTTTAAGTATTTGCAATTGACTGTTCAAATGCGGAGTTTTGCGCATCGTGTGTGTGTGTGTGTGTGCGCGCGAGCGAGCGAGAGAGAGAGAGCGGTGTGTGTGTGTGTGCGTGCGCGCACATATTCTGTTACACCAAATACACCAAATAATTATCTTTAAAAAAGCATCATATAACCCCTTTAAGGGAAAAAAGCTGTCCAAACCTGCCTGGCACTACGTGAAAAAGTAATTGCTAATAACCACCCTTTGCAGCAACAACAGCAATTAAGCGTTTGCGATAAATGGCAATGAGTCTTTCACAGGAATTTTGGCCCACTCTTCTTTGCAGAATTGTTTTCATTCAGCCACATTGGAGGGTTTTCGAGCATGAATGGACTGTTTAAGGTCATGCCACAGCATCTCAATCGGATAGAAGTCTGGACTTTGACTTGGCCACTCCAAAACTTTAATTTAGTTTTTCTTGAGCCATTCAAAGGTGGACTTGCTTGTGACTGGATGAGTCGTTGTTGCGCTCTTGGAATAATTTTGGTTGGCCGGCCACTCCTGGGAAGGTTCACCATTGTTCCAAGCTTTCTCCATTTGTGGATAATGGCTCTAACCGTGGTTCGCTGGAGTCCCAAAGCCTTAGAAAAGCCTTAACCCTTTCAAGACTGATACATGTCAACTATTTTGTTTCTCATCTGTTCTTGAATTTCTTTAGATCGTGGCATGATGTGTTGCTCTTTAAGCATGCTTCACTTGGTCAGACAGGTTCTATTTAAGTGATTTCTTGATTCAACAGGTCTGGCAGTAATCAGGCCTGCGTGTGGCTAGTGAAATTTAACTCCGCTTTCTAAAATTATGTGGTTAATCACAGTTCTTTCATGATTTAAGAGGAGGGGCAAATACATTTTCACGTAGGGCCAGGTAGGTTTGGACAGCTTTTTTCTCTTAATAAATGAAATTATAATTTAAAAACTGCATTTTGTATTTACTTGCATTATCTTTGCGTAATATTAAAATTGGTTTGATGATCTGAATCTTTTAAGTGACAAATATGCAACCAATTAAAAAAACAGGAAGGGGGCAACAACTTTTTCACACCACTGTAGATCTATATTATAGACAACCCTCTAATATATATATATATATATGTAATATATATAATATATTAGCATAATAATAATAATAGCATTATATAGTGGTTCAACCTGTTTTTATTCAGTCTATGGGTTCAACGCATTAGCCTATATTGTGTTTTTTTTTTAGTCACAGATCGGACTATTTTTTCAGATAAGCAATAAAAAAAATATTTAAAGCACAGAGAATGACAATGTCGTGACGAATTGAGCTCTCTTTCGTTTCTTCTTCTTGTGGTTTAAAATTGCTTGTACGTGTAAATTGCCAAATTAATCTGCGAATCACGTGAGTACCGAACGTTAGGGTCTCATCCCTACGTATTACAGATCAACTGCAATCCGTTTAACTCCTAATATGTGACAGATCAGCGCAATCTTTCATTTACTTATTTAACATGAAATTGTCAAATTGCTACTCCATATCAATCGCAAACAAAGAAAACACAGATTAATTAGAACAATCATTAACATAAATAAATAACAGAATGTCATATCTATACAAATAGACCGTTCTTGCGTCCCAGTAACAATTCTTCCAATTCATCCATGTATTCCAAAGTACTGTACACTGCAGAAATAGACTAGTACAGCAGTACTGTATGATATTTCAAACATAGACCTTACGCATTCTTACTAACTAGGTCATGCTAACAGAGTGTGAGGCTCCCTTGTGGGACATTAGCAAGGTCAGATGGGTACAGGGAAACCTACCTGCTCATCACTGCGATGGTAGTCATTGTCTTCCTCGGCTTTCTCGTCTCCTGCTTCCTTGTTGGCTGGATCTTCTGATTTCAAGTCACCTAGTGGGGTAAAATGTAAACAAACAAAAAAAATTTAACAAGACAGTCGCCAGACACCCATAAGAACCACCTTTTTTGTGTACATCCATCTCTCCACAATTCTGCTTTCAAACTACATAGAAATAAAAGCACAGGCATTTATCTTTCCAAACATCATCTTCACATTTTAAAACAACAAGTTTATCATAGTTCGTATTAAGATTCTAAGAATTTGTAATTCATTGCTTCTCAGAGCTGGAATTATATTGAGTACTAGTTTGTGAGTCTGGGAAGAGTTTCTTCATTACATAGTGAAGAAACATTCATCAAACACAAAAAAAGCAATTATCTCAAGCTGCTCCCCCACGCATTCGCCAAACTCCAAAACAATTCTGCACCTCATCAATGGAAACAGATTCATTTGTGATTCAACCTGCCCAAAGAACGCTTCTCATTGCCCACTGATCAGATCAGAAACTAGGGCTGCATCTCATTACAGATTTATGGAAGCATAAAAAAAAACTTTTTTTTTTTTTTATTATTAATATTGATAAGAGGGATCCAATGTAACCTACTCTACCATTCAAAAGTTTGGGGTCAGTAAGATTTAATATATTTTTTTAAATCAATACTTTTATTCAGCAAAATGCATTAATCAAAAGTGACAGTAAAGATGTTTATAATGTTACAAATGTTTATAATGTTCCATTCATCAAAGAATCCTGACATTTTTTTTAAATAAGGTTTCTACAAAGATATGTAGCAGCACAACTGTTTTCAAATATTGATTATAATAAAAAAACGTTTCTTGAGCACCAAATCAGCATAATAGGATAGTTTCTGAAGGATCATGTGATGAAGACTGGAGTACTGTAAAATTCAGCTTTGCATCACAGGAATAAATTACTTTTTAAAATATATTAAAACAAATTAGTTATTTTAACTTATAATAATATTTCACAATATTAACATTTTTTTTACAATAAATGCAGCCTTGTTAAGCAGAAGATATTTTTTTCAAAATTATTTAAAAATAAAATCTTAACTGACCTTATTTTTTTTCTGTGGCTGTTGACAGCAGGCCACAGATGCTGTATTTAACTATGAAAATCCAAATTTTTTTATAAAAAAATCTCCAAAACTGGCCAATGCAGGATGGAATTCGATACATATGACCAGTCCAGTTGAGTATGGTTGACTTATTTTATTGCATTTCAACTAATCGACTGTCCACACACCCTCATGATTTTGTATGAGGGACTGTCGAACATCACTATGACATTGTCATTGCATCACCAGAAATCTCTACTGCAGTAATGGGAAAGGGAAAGAGATTTTGTGCATCTGGCCGAATTGCAGGGATCCAATGTAACCTACTCTACCATTCAAAAGTTTGGGGTCAGTAAGATTTAATATATTTTTTTAAATCAATACTTTTATTCAGCAAAATGCATTAATCAAAAGTGACAGTAAAGATGTTTATAATGTTACAAATGTTTATAATGTTCCATTCATCAAAGATATGTAGCAGCACAACTGTTTTCAAATATTGATTATAATAAAAAAACGTTTCTTGAGCACCAAATCAGCATAATAGGATAGTTTCTGAAGGATCATGTGATGAAGACTGGAGTACTGTAAAATTCAGCTTTGCATCACAGGAATAAATTACTTTTTAAAATATATTAAAACAAATTAGTTATTTTAACTTATAATAATATTTCACAATATTAACATTTTTTTTACAATAAATGCAGCCTTGTTAAGCAGAAGATATTTTTTTCAAAATTATTTAAAAATAAAATCTTAACTGACCTTATTTTTTTTCTGTGGCTGTTGACAGCAGGCCACAGATGCTGTATTTAACTATGAAAATCCAAATTTTTTTATAAAAAAATCTCCAAAACTGGCCAATGCAGGATGGAATTCGATACATATGACCAGTCCAGTTGAGTATGGTTGACTTATTTTATTGCATTTCAACTAATCGACTGTCCACACACCCTCATGATTTTGTATGAGGGACTGTCGAACATCACTATGACATTGTCATTGCATCACCAGAAATCTCTACTGCAGTAATGGGAAAGGGAAAGAGATTTTGTGCATCTGGCCGAATTGCAGTCTAGGTTCAGTCGTTCTTAAGCCTTGACTACAACAGCGATGGCTTCTTCCCAGGACACTCCGAATATCCTTTCCGATAGTTAAAATGTTCCCTGACTGGAAAAGAAGTTCACGGAGTCTGAGCTAATCTGCGGCAAGCAGACTGTGAAGGAGAGAAAAGGCAGGACTTCCAGCTAAATACATTTCGTTAGGGTGGTTAATAGACGGGGTGCCTCTATAAAGCTGTCCGTGGATGAGGTGGAAAGCTCAGGTAGCAATTTTACCATGCTTTCCGGAAGGGTGACTTCTTTTTTAAGCTCGGCAACAGTCTGGTTAATATCCACTGTGATGGGATTTGAGAAGCACTGTCAGGTACCCTACCATGGCAGATTCAGGTCTCTCTAAAATCACCCTTATAATAGCACACCTGTGATACCAGGCCAGAAAAGCACTTTCGATGCTCATAAAACTCATAAATAATGGCTGTCATGCTTTATGCTTATTTGTGGGTAGGTAATGTAGTAACGCAGTCAGTTACATCATCATTTCACAACGTGCCTCTCCTCTCAGTTCAGTCTGATAGTTCTGTGGAGTGCTTGAGGACTGAAGACTTCAAATGAAGCGCTATTGAGGAAAAAAACAGGTCTGCTAAACTAGCTGAGACAATGTGGAACAAGAGACCACTTATGTCTGAGTCTTATTTACTACAATGCATGAATCCAGCCATTATGACTGCTGACTCAACCTGCTTGAGGCTCAGTATTTGCACAGACTTTATCACGGCGCACAGTGCTGAAAGATGAAAAGAGCAAGTTACTGCCTGGCTTTAGATGACTGTTTCCTCAAACAAAATGTAAGTGCCTGTTTACCACCAAATCAACTGAAATAATGTGCTTGTTTTGAGTCCAGAGACTTTCAAACATGCCTTTAGATTTATATAGGCAATATAATGCGTAAACAAATGTTAAGTTGCAATGTGAAAATTAAAGCACGATTTCACATCAATTTTCTTTACTTTAATGCAAAAAATATATATATTATTCAAAGGTTTGAGGTCAGTAAGACTTTTTAATGTTCTTGAAAGAAGTCCTGTATGCTTCCCATTTGTTTGATCAATATGATCCAAATCACAGTAATAACAATAATATTGTAAACTATTTCAATTTAAAATAACGGTTTTCGGTTTCTTTTTCCTGTGATGTCAAAACTGAATTTTCATCATCATCACTAATCACCAAATCACTAATATTTTGATTTGCTGCTCAAGAAACATTTCTTCTTATTATGAAAGTTGAGAAACAGTTGTGCTACTTAATGTTTTTGTGGAAACCATTATACTTTTTTTTTCTTCAAGATTCGGTCGATGAAAGTTCAAAAGAACATTATTTGAAACCGAAATCTATTTTAACACTGTAAATGTTTTTTTTACTGTCACTTCTGATCAATTGAATGCATTCTTTAATGCGTAAATAAAAATATTAATAAAAATAAATAAATAAAAAATACTGATCCCCAAACTTTTGAATGGTACTGCATTATTTGCATTGGCATGTATATTAGAGTTATAATAACTGTCTATTGTTGGAAAAAAAAGACTCCATTTCAGTAATGAGAAAAGCCACTGAGATTACAGGAAGCATTCAAACGTAAATCTGTATGTGTTACAGAAATGAAGAAATTGTATTATTTCTTCAACATGCTTTAGTGTCTTTATGCAAATTATAATTTATTTTGTATTTTTGGGGGGGGAGGAGAGGTGAAATGTGACAGAGGCATGTTTTTTGAATGATTTAAAGACATACTGTACCACTTCCACGGTGAAGGTAGATGGACTGTACCACCGACAGTAGTTAAAGAGTGCTGGGACGTACCATTGTGTTGAGTGTCCAGGTGGGTTTTCATGTTGCACAGTTCTCCTTTGATGTCTCCGGGAACCTCCATGCCTAACTTCTGATAGAATTCTCTCTGTTTCTTCATCTCCGCTGCACACAAGAGAGCGAAGAGGAAAAATTAAAGCCTTACTATTAAAATCTTACACATCATAAGCTGCTTCACAGAATATGCTTTACATAAGAAAAATATGAAACCTCCAAAAACAAAAAGGGAGTGTGTGGGGGGGGGACAAACCTTCTTGCAGCCCTGGCACCAACTTATAGACAATATCTTGCATTGTTCGGTCATGGCTGAGGGAAGAGAGAAACAGTAATGAATATAATTTATTCAAATGTGAATTATTACACCAAGAAATGCACAAACAACAACACCAAGAAAATTGCATTTCGCATTTGCATTCGGCAGGCATGTTTCCTCATAACTATGATTGTTAATTAGCATATAGTGTAGTTCTTCCTCGTGTCTCTATATTCTCCTGTGACTGGCGGTTCCCAGGGCTCGGAGGTAAAACCTATTAAGCGTGTGTTGACATGTTCATCTCTGTGGCGCCTCTGGTACGGCTGCCTGCCTCCGAGAACATGTTACCATGCCGAAAAAAAAAAAAAGTGCCGGTTCCAAGCAGCCAACAACCAAAACAAGCACCCGCTTTGAGATTCACAGCTCTCGTCATGTTGCTTATACTTTCTAGGACACTGTAAACGAACTCTGGAAAAATCTGACAAGATATCTGAAACTTTAAATATCCTTTAAATATCATAAAACATGTTGAGAAGATTTACATAAGGACTTTTAAAAAATTGCTTGGATTGAGACATTATTTTCATGAAATTTAAGAACATTTACCCCAAATTCTCATTACTGTATTTAAAGAAACGTAATAGTGGTATTAAAGCATTTACTCTACTTTTCAAAAGTCATAAGAAACTTCTTTCAAAAACATTACAGAATCTAATGCTCACCAAGACAGCATTCAAATTCTAATATGCTAACTTGGTGCTCAAGAAACATTTCTTATTATTATCAATGTCGAAAACAGTTGCGCTTTGTGATTCTTTGATGAGAAGCAAGTTCAAAAGAACAGCATTTACTTGTAACATAAATCTTCTATAACATTATAAATATATGTTGTCACCTTTGACCAATCAAATGTGTCCTTGTTAAATAAAAGCAATAGTTTCTTTAAAAAACTCGTCATGACTCCAAACTTATATGTCTATAAAGCATAATAAACATCAGTATATTTCAGTAAAAGGAACTCATAATTGTAATGAAAATAATGTCACAATGCAAAAACAATATGCAATTTATTTGATTTTATTTTTATTTGATTTATTTGATTCCTAGTTCAGTGTACAAGTCCTTGTGGCAGGTCAGTTCCTCTTAATAGCACATAATGACTCAGACCAGTTGGAAACTGATCTTAGATCTACACTCGTGCCACTTTGAGAAACCAGGCCACATTCTGTGTCAGAGTCCAGCTTGCTGTTAGCTGATCTGCTCCCTGAGGACACAATGAGAGAGAAAGAGAGACCGAGAGCGATCAGGATTGTGAGGCAGAGGAACACCTGTGTCCCTTGTGCACAGCCAGAGCCGCCACCTGTTCCCAAATCCCAGCAGCCTGGCGGGGAAGGTAGAGGTCCAATTAGCCGCCACTGAGCTTCCACAGAGGGGGCCGGTGGGCCTGGTGGTGAAGGAGTGACTGGCATTTAGCTAGCTGATCAACAAAAGCTCTGTTTGTGTGTGGGTGTATGTTTAGCAAGTACCAGAGAGAGCTGAGGATCAATAAGCTGCCACTGTTAATACAGACAAATCCAGTTTTCATTCACGATCAAACAGCGTGGCTCGTAAACACCGGGGTGTTAAACTAAGGTCAGGTTAATCATGCGGAGAGGGAGAGGAGCTGGTTTGACGGCATACGACATAATGTAACTGACCCCGAACTCTTATATTGTCTCTTCTTCTCGTATCCCACACGGCTTTCATCTACCAGCAGGGCTGGGTCGACTCTTTTCCGCCCCATTCAGAAGGAAGCACTGGGACCGTGGTGAATATTTAATGTGTTTGGAAAATGTTTCTCATCAGCGAGTGGCTGCAAGCTTCTATGCTGCTAAATGACAATTATGAAAGACCTGGCATCCGGCCCAGTGCACCAGCGGATCCATCAGACACAGAGGCACCGATGCTCAGGGGGCAGATGGACGCCACACCCCGACAGTTTACACACACCTACACACTACGCACATCTGCGCGTGTCTCTCAGCAGCAGTTTGTACTCACAGCATAAAAAGGTTAAGGCCTTTTCCTGTTGAAACAGGAAGTTTGAGTTGGAGATATAAATGCAAAAGGCTTGTTTGGTCAACTCTTTAAGAGTACACATGCATACAGATGATCTTTAAGGCTACAAGTCACATAAGATTTAAAAACATGATATTTAATAACCTGCAAGTAAAATTTTTTATTTATTTTTTATTCACATTTTATGGAGCTAGTTGTGGTTGCTTACAGTCAAAAGAGTTCACATGTCTATGTCACTTTGGTCTCTAGATAAGTCTTTGCCTCTCCTTTTATGTAAGTCTAAAGGATTTTTGTCTTATATTGTCTGCCAGGCAAAAATCATAACTCAGAAAAAGTGTGATCACTTAAAGTAATAACTCTCCTCAACAAGCAGCTTACAATAAACCATCAACCCTAAGAATGAGCAAAAAAGTAAAAATAAATAAATTAAAAAAATTGGGGTCAGTGAGATTTTTAGTAGTTTTTACTGTATTTTTGATCAAATAAATGCAGCCTTGGTGAGTGAGACTTTTTTCAAAACATTAAAAAAATGTGTTGTGAACGTATTTACAAAGTGCATTTTCTATGATGTGCCCTCTTTAAAACGACATAGCATGCTTCAATTGCTTATGCACAATGCCACCAGTGGTCACTTCCTTTCACGGCCACTTCATCTCAAACTAGAAAAATTGAACATCCAAAAAAGTGCAATATTCTGCACTGTCGTGATAAATAAACACCCTGTGATGGTTTAGCACAGCTGCTGCCCTTAAAATGACATCACGTGGAGCAATTCAGTTCTAGAAGTGCGTAAAACTTTCAGGTTACATCAGCAGATGTTTTCTCTGGGATGAGTGTGCTGGAGAGGAATGCTCCACCCTGGACATCAATAATTCACCCTGGACAAAGACAGCTGGAGGGAGCCACGTCGCCTTCAAATACCCATGTGGCTGCACGACACGCAACTAACATGCACAGAAGCCAGCAGTCAAAGACTATGATATTTACCGGTGTGCTTTGATGGACCCCTACTGGGCTGCTGTGGGGTTTATACTGATTGAGACGTGTTTGTTTACTTGCGGTAAACTCTTACCCGATGTACTGCAGTGGATGGCTCTGGTGAATGACAATCCGACATGTGGGACACGTGTTATTCTCTTCTAGGTACTTCACCAAACAGCTCCTGCAGACTATATGTACAAACACACAGTTTAGACACCTTTATTAAGTTGATTCATTCTGTACGCATCACATTATACATCACAATATTGATTTCCAAGAGACAAGAATGTCACATTGACGTGAATTTGTTTAAATGACTCAGCACAAACCCAGAGGCAAAAAACAAAAACTAATAGCCCTTCTAGTTTTATGACTAAAACTACTAAAGCATCGTTTCAAAGGCTCTTGATCTGTGGCACAATGACTCCCTCTAGTGTTTAATTCAAAAACTAGCCTGACATGCTATATTTAATCTGATCTCACTTAATCTCATCCTTTTGCTGTTCAAACCACATACTGTAATTTTCACAAAAGGAGATTCTGAGTCAGATCCTTTTAATGAATCTGTCAATTCACAAAAACTGTTCTATATGATTTGTTCACTGATAATCTTCCCATTCAATTTGTTAATCACTGCAACCGCATAATTGAGCCATTGAGTTGAACTTGAATCAGTCCGATTCAAGAACAAATCATCATTGGGACCTGGTTTTGTGAACCAGATCATTCTCTGGAAAAGATTTGACTCCAATGAACAATATGTTAACAAATCAGACATCACTACTACTCACCAATGAGATCTAGGTTAAATCAAGGTTCCATTTAATTAAAATTTGGGTCTGTTTGTCAAGTCATTTGGAACACTTTTTTGTTTTATGTTAATTTATGTTCTTTATAGTGACAAGAATGGGCAGGATGTTCCTTAAAAGGGTCATATGATCCAGCTAAAAAGAACATTATTTTGTGTATTTGGTGTAATGAAATGTTTATGCGGTTTAAGGTAAAAAAAACCCCATTATTTTCCACATACTGTATATTATTGTTTCTCCTCTATGCCCCGCCTTTCTGAAACGCGTTGATTTTTACAAAGCCCATCGGTCTGAAATGCGAGGTGTGCTCTGATTGGCCAGCTATCCAGTGCGTTGTGATTGGCCGAATACCTCAAGCGTGTGACGGAAATGTTACGCCCCTTACCATATTGTGATGCCTTGTCCGGCTGGAGCGTAACATAAAACCATGTCTGCATTTGTGATCAGAGAAATGACAAACAACAAGTGCTACTCTACACTGCCCAAAAAACTCACGTTTGAATCGTCAGTGGCAAATTTTTTAAATATAAAAAAAATGTACTTACAGACTGCGAACAGCCGGCATTGTAGTCTACTCTACCAGGATCAGGAAACAGTCCTCCATAAAATGTGCTGCACACATCTGAATATTTGGGTTGAAGTGTTCTGGAACAGTGTGGTAAATACAACTTAACCACTGATTTCTAGTCGTGTCCTCTTTTAGAAGGCCAAACAAAGTAATTTCGCTTTCACAACGAAAAAGCATCACACACGGCGGGCTAGAGAGAGCGGAGGCCAGAGGCCTACAGTATGCGGAGGCCGGCTTGAGTGAGCAGAGGCGGGCGCCGGGCGGGCTTGAGAACGGCGTCCGGCGGGGATGCGGCAACCACATGTGACGACCCCGGGCTGGACTCCGCTTCGTCCACGGTGAAAGCCGATCCGGCGATCCACAGCGCAAAGTTGATGTATTTCCTCAGCGACCAGCATGGATCAGCTCTAGGCATGACGAAGCAGATATCATCCTCTTTTGGAAGGCCAACCAAAGTAGTTTCGCTTTCACAACGAAACACAGCGCCTTCACGACATGGCGGCGGCGGCGGCAACAACAATACTACAGCGAGAATAAAAGTTACGCCTTCTTTCTTTGAGTGAACATTTGGGTGGCGTTATGCAAATCTTCCCACACAATGACGTAGACATTTGGGGGCGTGTTAGAACGAGCCGTTTTAGGTAGGCGTGGTTGACTCTTAACTTTTCACCCGAGATTTTTTAAATTAATTATCGATTCGATTGGGCAAGGTTTGGTGTCTTTTATTAGTAAGTGTCTCCAAACGGGCTCTGTTCCTGCCAACCTTAAAGTCACTATGGTCACTCCTCTGCTCAAGAAGCCTTTACTGGATCCTTCTGTCCTAAAAAAATTTCGGCCTATTTCTGTTTTACCTTTCATTTCAAAAGTTTTGGAGAAAATTGTGCTGAATCAACTTCAACATTTTCTGACTATTAATAGTATTAATGAGGTTTTTCAATCTGGTTTTAAGTCTGCTCACAGCACTGAGTCCGCCCTTTTGAGAGTGTTAAATTATATTTACCTCTCTACTGATTCTGGAGACTCGGTGGTTCTTATTCTTTTAGATTTATCGGCTGCTTTTGATACCATAGACCACTCCTCACTATTATCTAGATTAGAGTCTTGGGTAGGTCTAAAAGCAAACGTTCTGAAATGGTTTCAGTCATACCGGTCTGACAGAAAGTTTTTAGTGAAGTTGGGTAATTTTTCCTCTTCCCCTGCTCCTCTGACCTGTGGCCTTCCACAAGGCTCCATTTTAGCTCCCTCTCCATTCTCTCTTTACATGTTACCTCTGGGCTCTATTCTACGAAAACATGGTGTGTCTTTTCATTTCTACGCAGATGACACTCAAATCTATCTACCAATCAAGAAAAACAATTCCACTGCGATTACTTCTCTTCTGAAATGTTTAGAGGAGGTTAAATCATGGCTAGCCCAAAATTTCCTCTACCTAAATGAAGACGAGACCGAGGTAATTGTTTCGGTCCAAATGATAACTCTCAGTGTATAAGCCCCGAGTTAGAAAGTTTATCCGTTTTTAGATCCTCGCGGGTGCGGAACCTAGGTATTCTAGTCGACCAGCATTTAAAATTTGATAAACGCATCTCTTCTGTCATTGGGTCCAGTTTCTATCAGCTTCGTTTACTGTCTAAAATTAAACATTTTCTCACTCTAAAACTTTAGAAATGGCTGTTCATGCGTTCGTTACGTCTCGTCTAGATTACTGCAATTCTTTATATTGCGGTATATCTAAATCTCAAATTGCACGTCTTCAGCTTGTCCAAAATGCTGCAGCCAGACTTCTTTTAAAGTGTCGTAAACATGAACACATCACTCCAATTCTTAGATCTCTACACTGGTTGCCGGTTTGTCAGAGAATAGACTTTAAAATTATCCTCTTTGTATATAAATCCCTACATAACCAAGCTCCTGTCTATCTATCTGACCTTCTTTACTTCTATACTCCATCTAGAAGCCTACGATCCTGTGACCAGTACTTGTTGGTGGTCCCTCACGTCAGGCTTAAGCGTAGAGGGGAGTGTGCATTTGCGGTGGCAGGGCCACGACTCTGGAATACCCTACCTTTAGAGATTAGAATGGCCCCTTCTTTTGTCTGTTTTTAAGTCCTCGCTTAAAACTTGTTTGTTTTCCTTAGTGTATTGACTACTGTGATATGGTCATTTTTAAACGTGCGGTTTTAAATTTTTGTCTGGTTTGTTCTCTGTGTATGTGGTAAAATTTTTGCTCTTCTGGAAAGCACTTTGGTCAGCCTGGTGGCTGTTGTATATGTGCTCTACAAATAAAATTAACTTGAACTTTTATAAAGAATATCTCTTTGGATTTGAGACTTTAGTCTTTGCAACTTTACAGATCTTCTTTATGCACCAAGAGCTTGTAACACTTCAAAGAGAAAGGAAAAATTGAAATCGCATCATATGACCCCTTTAAA